TTAAATGACATAATTGTTAGATTTTATATCAGATGAGAAAATTAGGTAATGATTTTCATGTATCAATCTTTTTGCACCAGACCATATTGATGTTATTTTTATATTATATTTATATTTACATTAATAATTTAAATATTTATTATTTATACAGCTAATGCATAGGCGAAATCAATTATTATGAAACGTAAATTATGATCTACTAGTAAGAAAGGATCTAAAAAAGGAGATGTAAATAACTCTGATACTGAAGATGAAATTCCTATTAGTCATAAATAAAGTGCAAAGAAAAAGCCTAGAAAAAGCATTGTAGTTAATTCTGATACTGAAAATGATGATAAGGAGAATGAGTTAACTTCAAGAATTAGTGAACTTGAATATAAAGAATGGGTTCTAGCTTTAAAAGAGCGTGAAATTGATCTAAGAAAATGAGAGGCTAAAGTCTATTTAATGGAATTATCAAATTTTGAGAAGAAGCGTAAGTTAAAATTTGTTAAATCTTGAAAAATCAAATTTGATAAATATTCATTCGTTAAATGCTATAAACATATGAAAGAAAATTTAATAAATAAAGCATTTATGAAATATAAATTATTACAATATAAAAAATTAAATTATCATATAACAATAAAAACAATCCTAAGTTAGTAATAGATTTACGCATTTATTTGCTTCACAATATGTAGATCTTAGTACTTTTTATTTTTTCTTTGTAAAAGAATTTATATATTTCAGTACAAATTTTAGCATTATATAATAAAAAAAAATTTTTCAATTAATTTTAAAATTTTGCATTATAATACTAAAAAGCAATTGTGTATTAAATAAAAATATACACTATAATAATATACACCATACAGTTTGAATGTTTAATATATATATAATTAATATTTAAACTGTATGTTGTATATCATACACTATTTATTTTTACGTTATACACTACACAGTTGGTCGACCCTACACCACAAGTTTCCATCTTACCGCAAAAATAAGCATTACCAAGATTCATTAATACCCAAAAATAAGCATTCTCACAATTTATTCAATTAAAATCTGATTATTATTTATTGATATTTTGACACTCATATATATATTATATAACTCGTTATAAAAAATGTTTATTTCAATAATTTTAAATGCTATTATCTTAATCACTATTAATGCTATTATTATCATCAATGCTATCATTACCGTAACAATCACTATCAATATATAATATCTAAATTATTATCTTCATTTTAGTCTGCACTTTTATCTATACTCTCATATCCACTTTCATCTTTGCTATCATCTCCACTCTCATCAGATCCATCTAAAAAATTTGATATCTTACATTTTTTAAAGAATTTGATAATAATTTTGTCTGAAATTGCCTCCTAAAAACGTTTGACCTACATACAAATATCACTTAATTTTGCCTGATAAAGATTTTTCACAGAAGTTATTCTTGCACCATCCTTAGACATCCAGCTCTGCCATTCTCTTCGTAAATTTTCTTTGAATGGTTTATTGATTACAACATCGAGCAGTTGGCAAATACTAGTCAATCTGTTTAGAATAACTGCTATTATATCCACTTTTGTGAAACTTTAATTTTACCAATTCTTCAATATGACCCTAAATGAATCATACATTAAAATTGCTTAAATATTGTTAGTTCTTGCATCATTAAGATAAACTATATACCTTTTCATTAAATCAGCATTCATCTATGCATTTTTCTGAAACTACACTACTACTTCAGAAGAAATTTGTTCTTCTCGTGACATTTGTTTTCCTTTAAAAATGCAGATAGGTAGTAATTTAGTACCATCTATAAAAATGAATAAAAATCTATAAGTACAATAAAATTTTTCTTGTATTCCTTTTCAGTAAATTCCATAAATCAGTTCTCACCTATGACATATATTAAAACCACAGCAAACTAATTCTTCTCATTATCTATTGCTTGAATATGCACAGCCTTTTCACTTTTTGGATTGACTGTGATATTGCCAGCCATATCAAACCAAACAGGTGTCTCATTTATATTAAAAATTTCACCTATTTTGAAGAATTTTTCTATTCTAAGGCAAATAATAAATTGCTGAAACTTTTTTAATAAATCTTAAGTTTGAATTGGAAGTTTTTGAGATATTTTTGTATGTCTTCATAATGCCAGTTTGTATCATTTCAAAATGTAACTAGCCAACAGTGAGATATTTTAAATCCTTTGATACATTATCATAAAGAACCAAAATTTTAGGTTCTTTCAATATTTTTAGCATTCTATATCATATTGTTGCATAAGTCATTACAAAAGCCTGCTTTCTTTATTCCATTATCCAATTATACAGCTTTTTTTCAGCTTTTTGAAAGAAAGCTTTTTAGCCAGATCTAACCCATCTATTATTTTCACTTATTTCATTTGACCAGTTTGTATTTACCTTCATCCAACGTCCAATCATACTGGCATCAAGTTCAAAATGTGTAACAGCATTATTTCTTCTATGCTTCTTTGCATAATCTACAACTTGTGACTTTTGAGAGAGAGAGTATAATGTTCGCTTTCGTTTAGCAATTTTTTTTATTTTTTTTGTGACTTAACCTTTTGTTTGCGTTGTGACGATTTTTTTTGTAGCATTTTAGATAAATAAAGAAAGATTATCGCATGTTTATATATGTATATGCAACTTAATTTATTAGATCTGCATATTGCGTAACAAGATTATCAGCAGTCATGAGATTTGGGATCTTATTTTTAGCATTTGACGCAGTTTCTAGATTGTTATCTTAGCAAATTTTTTTAGTATCTGAAAATAAGCATCCCTATAATAAAAAAAAGATGCTTATTTTCAGAGAAATACAGTATGTTTAACATAGTTAACATAGTGAATATAGTTAATATAGTTAATATATTAAATATATCAAAATATATAATAGAATAGATATAAATATAAGCTCTTTTGTCAGTTAGAAAAAGACAGACTGACAGCTATATAGAAACTCTCTTTTGTAAAAGATAGCGCAATGTTACTTTTCACTTTATGTACTTCTATTTCTTATTTTATTTTCTTATTTCTTTATATATTATTATCTTGTTATTTCTTTCTACTTTAATAAAGTATTTCTTATTTCTTACATAAAACTTATCATGAATTACTGTGACAATTCTTAACTTATAATTGAAGCTACTCACATTTAGTAAACCTAATTCAAGTTGATAAACTAATAATAAAATAATTGATATTTAATGTAAAACTAGTTAGAATTATACGTAGATTATAAAAGAGTCATCTCTCTGATATTACGACTACAAGGCATTTCTAATTAGTTATTCTATAATTTTGCTTAACTTTATTCATACTTCTGCTGGTATATGCTACTATATTGTTAAGTACTTTTGAGAGAGAATAGCTCCTAAGTCATTTCTAGAAGCATTAGTATCAGTAAATAAAATCTATTTGCAGAATTTATGAAATGTAACCCAATTTTGATTTTCACAAATTGCATGTGATTCTAATCTACATATTGCACAATCAACATTTTTAAATTCTGCGTAAATTTTACACAAACTCTTTGCAAGATTTACACAAATAGCGCAAATAGTACAAATGCACAATTTTGTTTTTGTCAACTCTATGAATATCTTTAATTAGACAATTAATCCTGCATATTATATATCAATATACAGTAGTTAAAGATAAATATTAAATGACAAAGAAACAAAGAAATTCAATTTACTTCTTTATTCTAACTTTTATTTAATTTAATTACTCAATTAATAAAAACTATATTTAATAATGGAAAGATATTTTTAAAATACAAGTAATATAATAGAAAAGCATAAAGAAAGTAATAATATTGAATTATCCAGAGGCTCTTCTATATATAAAAAAACTAAAAAAAACTCTAAATAAAAAATACAAAAAATAATGAAATGATTGGAATCCAAAATGCCACCAAAATATTTATAGTTGGTAAGAAAAGAAGATAAAGAAGGAAAGCCTTATATGTATTGTATTTAATATGAAGAGAAAAAAGTGAGCAATATTTTTACAAAAGGTTGTAATAAATTCAAAAATGATTATCTTAATAATCATGTAAAAACTGGGTCGTATACTTTTATTTCAAAATTAAGAAATAGTTTTTTTTTTTGAAGTGTGACAGTTTTGCATGATTTTTATTAAATTTATATAATACTAAATACATATAATAAAACAGAAAATACAAAAATATCTATAAATTAATTTATAAAACTAAACTACTTTATCAATACTAACCTTACATTTTACTAAATTAAACTATAAATAGAAAAGAAAAGAAAAGAAACTTAAACCAAACTATACTATTATATAGTTATCATACATCTAGAAAAGAAGGCGTGATTACTGTTATTTTAAAAATTTGATCAATAAGAGCCATAGGCACAAGCTGCTAAAAAGAAATTAAAATTAGATATTAAAGGAATAGGAGAGAAGTGTGAGAAACCAGAAGAAATCCAGAGGATTGTTTAATCATCTTTAATATTGTTTTTAATTTTTTATTTATTAAAAGTAGCATTTCTATTAATCCAAATCTCATGATAAGATATGGAAATATCGTGATAAAGTGAAGATAAGAGACTATGTGATAAATTTATTAAGAATAGATAGGCTAAGACTTTGTTAGATAAGGAAGTTGATACTATGCCTTTAAGTAAGTCAAGAAACCAAAAATCATTTAATAAGAGTAATGAGTTTCAGATATTAACAGATGATATTTCATCTATAAGAGAATTATTGTTGAGAGTATTTAACTCAGTAAGGTGGGTGATAAATGTTGATTTATGTAAGGTAATCAGGTCATAAATATTCAGATTATTCTTTGAACAAAGCTAAAGTTGTTTAAAATCTTCAGTTTGTGAGTGACAATAGAAACATTGTGGTGAAGAATATATATCTAATACATAAGTATATACAATTTTCAAAGTGGAAAGTATTTGAAGTAGCATTTTGATTTTAAATTTCTTTTTAAAGCATCCTATAAAGGATTTTTACAAGAGGATTTTTCATCATTAAGAACTTGAAAAGAAGAGGCCAATTTATAGATTTGTTATAATATTTGTCTAAATGTAATAATAAGAGTAGAGATTCAGCTCAAACAACTTGCAATTTGTTTTTGATAAAAAGATGATGAAGAGCTATAACTGAAGTTGAGTGGTAGTAAAAGTAATACCTAGGACTCAGATACTCTCTGTTGATGGATAATTGTTAAGCAGAAATTTATTTTACTAATTTATTGACAGTATTATTAAGAGGATCATCATTATGAACTTATACTTTGGTAAATAAAATGAAAATATTATTTTGTACAATGAGATAAAATAACATTGACCAAATGTGAAAATAAGGTATTTTGAAGGCAGAATTAATAGATAAAAAGTCACAGAAAAGAAAAGAAAGTTTTTGAAA